GTTTAATTATTAAAGTTCATATTAGTATTTATATTAATATTTAACTAAATAATTAAATAGGGACCAATACGCGCTTCCACATAAGTTTGGGTTGCTGCTAAACTTTGGGGGTGGAATGAAAGTTTGTCTCATTATATAAATGAAGCAAATTTAGGTTTTATACACAATTTTCATTGTGTGGCCATGAAGAACATTTTGACAGAAAAATTTTCTATTTTCTATTTTCTTCTCTTCATTCTATCTTCCTAAACATTCCTTAAAGCCAAGAATTGATTCTAGCAAAATCAATTCTTGGTCTCTAACGTATTGTCTTCGTGTGGACGATATTAGTTTGATTTTATTCTCGAATCGATAGCGAATCACATTCAGAGACACTGACAGAGCCTCCAAACGATGGTATAATTCAATCCTTGCATGAATCTTTATTATTTCAATTTAAGGATGTAAAATATACACATACCAGACCCTGATCTTGGTGAAATCAGAGTAATTGATGGGTAAATTTTTTTATTTTCGCTCCTCTGCTCATTGATTTACTAACAGAAAGTGTAGGGTTAGTTCGCTTGCCAGACTAGAAAACCCTTTTGATTCGCACAAAGATCAGAGTTCTTACTAGCTTCTGAGGCAAAAGTGTTGGTCTCCCCGGCTTTATGGAAGAAATATTGGGAGTCCCAATTCCCAATCTTCTTCGAGACTCTGACCAAACCGTTCAAGTGTACTATCCTCGTCTTAGAGAGGTAGTATGTCTGGTCTTGACTCTTCTTTAACCTATATAGGTGGACGAGCTCATCCATCGATAGCTCGCCCAATTCAACTATCTGGTATACTATATACATCCCTACTATTATTATATATGAGTTCCCTTTCAGTTGGAGGGGAACAATCTCGAGCCTTTTTAGCATGTCGGCAATAAAATAATGAGGGGGAATGGACATCCCACATCTTAGAAGGGTGTCTAAAATCACCACCCAACCTCTAGGGGGATTTTTCTAGAAGATATCTCCCAGAGCTCTCAATGGAAGTTAAGTCGCATAAATATCTTTTATGAGCTCAAGATTGGCGACCCTAATTGAGGAACTTGGTTCCTTCCTAGGCCTAAAAACTGGTGAACTCCTTGGCGAGGGAAGCTTGGCAAAAGCATTGTCCAAGGAGCCCGCAGCATCGCTGTCCGAGCTCTTTACAATAAAGTCCTCATAAACTTTTGGGACTCCTCCCCTGCAAACAGTTGAAGTTGCCGGAGAGTCGAAAATGCGGTCTATATTATGGCTACTGGATAAAGACATGGTGGAAACATGTCTCTGGATACTTGAAACAGAAGCGAACAAATGTCAAAGCTCGAAATATCGACGACCTATCCATACTTTGCTTTCAGTTTAAGCATCCAAGATAGCTCGCATTGACTAAGAGATACAAACGAGCTATCAGGATTCCGGTGGCCACCTCCTTAAACCCTACTAAAACCCAAACCAGTGGATCTACTAAAAAAAACCCTAGAAAAGCTAACGTGGCCACGACAATGGCTACCCTTAATAGCAAAGAAAACTTGAAATAAAGAAGGGTGAAGACAAGAGCCTTACCAAAGTGTAAAACATAGTGAGAGTTCGCCGATAGTCGCCGTAAGTTTGAGAAAGCAACAACGGAATAAGAAGCAAATGGCTTTGAGATATTGCAAATGTGTAATTCTAACAAAGAGTGCCCGCTTTTATAGTGGTGAACATGGGAAAGGAAGGGGCGGGATTCGACCTCGACTGTTGATCTGCAACGAATCTCAACTCTCCATTCGTCGAGCAATCTTGACCACTCGACGTGCTCACGTGTTGATTATCCACAAAGGGCGATCAACCGTTAGAATTTTGCAATCATAACCATTGTTGCATGTCGCCTTGATGTTAATAGGGTTCGCATTATGTGGTACATACTTTAATGGGTCAGTTTTTTTTAAAAGTAGTATAGATAGACAGGGCAGAGGGAAGGACGGTCAAGTTGACCCTCCTTGACTTTGTCAAAATATCAAAATATATATATATATGAAATTAACTTTTAAATTTATCAAATATATCAAATTAAATTCTTAATTTTTACAAAAAAATCCTACAAATACATTTAATAAATTATATATATATATATAATAATAAATATTATTTCTAAAATTTGTTTGTCAAATTAAATTATTGTAAATTGTTTTGTATTTCAATATTTATATATATATATATAAGGGCTAGCTTACAATCCACCCTCATGGCCCCCCATTTAAATTACGGATGCTCGGATGGAGAATCGAATCGAATCTAAGACCGTGTGTCGATCCACACTATCTCCAATTTGTTCTAATCATCTAGACTACCCAAAGTGGGTTACATCAAAATATTGAAGTTAGGAAAAAAAAAAAATAATATCAAAAATATGTATTTTGATGCATTATTTTAAGGGATCGAAACATAAAAGTGAAATTACAACAAAAGTTATAACATTTTACTATAAAAGCTAGATAAATCTTTAAATATTTTATTAGTAGAAAATTTATTATAGTTGAATTTAGAGGTGTTGTTATTTGTGTTGGCTTAATAACTTGTTCATTAGTAAATTTTCTTAGTTTTTTTTTACAGTCGTTAAAGTATTATAAATTGATTCCATATCGTCAAACACAATAATAAATATATTAATTATAAAGAGCATTATAAATAAGTACTCATATTTTTGTATAACTTATACCCAATACATTATTTATTATAAGTTTATTTATAATTATATTATTAAGTTTAATTAACGTTTTGACCCTCCTAGAATGAGTATCTGGCTACACCCCTAAGTGTAGATACAAAGTTTTTTTATTTTTTTATTTTTTTATTTTTTAAATTTGGTAATATAGAATATACCCTAATTCGATCAAATACGTAAATTTTGGTCCCCATTAGTGCAACCAGTAATGAATTATAATTATCTCCTAATATGAGTTTTACTAAACTTTTAAAGATTTAATGACATGTGTATATTTTTACTTATTTTTGTAACTATTAATCATAAAGGAAATGACTTTTAGACCCTATATTTTTTTTTTTCTTTTCAACCTTCATCTTCAGCCTAGATTGGAGTATAATAGTATTTAGAAAAAAATATTTACAATGATTCTTATATATATTAAATTTTTTAAGGAAGAATTAGTAAATATGTCATTATTTTGTGCTAGATTTAAAATTTTATAATATCTTCGGTTTTTATAAACTTGTCAGTCAAAAATTAATATAAACATATTGTTTGACTCAAATTCTAGTAATTTCTCGGTTATATGATCAAATTTTCATTTAAACAATATAATTCACAATAACTTTTTAAAATATAAAACTTAGAAAAAAAAAAAAAAAAAAAGAAGAAAAAACTAGTAAAGAATTCTTTAAAACCAAATGGTAATTGTGCTTACTTTAGGTTTAGAAGGATATGAGATTGAAAAATAATTCATGATGTAAAGAAAAAATATTAAGTAATATTTATAATTACTATTATCTTCAATTCACTTGTGAAATCATGGATTCTTATGGACCTAAATTTCATTTAATTTTTGAATAATGCTCTATCTACAAGAAAATCTTACAAAGATTTCTATACAAAGAGGTAAGAAATAAAAGGAAAAATGAACATAAAAAGTCAAACTCATCGTACTTACTATTCCACTTATTTACTACCACATTACTTTGTACAAAAATTTTTGTAAGTTTTCTTTGTACATCTAACATTATTGTTAATTTTTTAGAACTGCAAATATAATGCTTTATAATTTAAGTATGAAGGGAAAAAAAAAGTTTTTACTATGATTATGTCTTTACCTAAAGAAATCAACATTGAGTGGCTTGATGGTAAAAGAGCAAAGGGGTCCAACATGAGTTTTTGATTTGGAATCCCCTCAGACACTAATAAGGATGGTTGCTGAGAAGATTTATCCGACTGTTAATTTTAGGATCCTAAAAAATTAGTTGAGGTAGACATAAACTAAGTGTCTGTCTTCACCTAAAGAATAAAATGATCGGGGTTAAAAACCATTTCCTCAATTATAAACCTTTTTCATTGTTGAGTTCAGTTAAATTATGTTCTTTTTCTATAATTTGATTAGAAATTTATAAAGAATGTTTTACAAGTATTCATGGTTGATTAGAATCTTCTTTTAAGTAATTGTTAATGTGTATTATGATGCTCGTTTGCTCTTACGTGCATTCGCTTTATCACATGATGCTATATGTTAATTAATTATTTAACTCCACATTCTTTATCTATCCAGTAAAATAAAAAGAGGAAAAAGTGCACATCATTTCAAGAAAGAAGAGAGATGGGCCCCATGGTGGTGCCGCAAAAACAATAATAATAATTTTTAATTACCCTAAACTTTATGAATAGGAGAATTTCATAAACTACCCTTGAGATTTAGCAAACATCAATGTGTGACACTTACAGACGAAATTATCAAAAATACCCTTGGCACCTAACATTGTTTGAGCATGTTAGGTTTAAATTTATATTTTATGTGTGATTAATGTTTTACCCTCACTTTTATTATGTGTGAAAGAATTTGTTATTTGGGCAACTCCAATCAAGTTATCAAGAAATGCAGTTAACCCTACAAGTGAACCAAACAACATTCCCAAAATTGTTTATCTTCTTTCTTGTTTACCCAATGGAAATGCAACAAGTCAACAGCCCCACAAATCCTCTCCAGTCTAACTACTAACTAGTAACTATGGTAGCTTTAATAACGATCTTTGGTTAGATGACTTAAATATCCTTTAATAGTTAATCATTCTAATGGCATTAGGGTTTAGGGGTACTTCTTGATAATTTTGTGCATAAATGTCACCCATTTCATATCAGCTAAACCTCAGGGGTAGTTTTTAAATTCTTCCCTTTATGAGTCATACTTCAATATTCAAATCTCTAACGCTGAAGGAATAATTATTTAAAAGGCGAGAGAGAATTTTGAACTAAAATAAACTTTACCTTTGGTTCCCCTTTTCTGCGAGAAGTGCAAACGCTAGTAAACATATATCAAGTAAACTTACCAAGAACTCCGAAGATTCAGTCTGATCGCTTCAAGCCAAGTTCGATGGCTTCTTCTTCTTCGGGTACTCACCAAGTGAAGTATGATGTTTTTCTTAGTTTCAGTGGTGAGGACACTCGCAACGGTTTTATTAGCCATCTTGATGTAGCTTTGAGCCGGAGAAAGATTAAATATTTCATCGATGATAAAATTAGAAGAGGAGATGAGATTTCACCATCACTTTTGAAGGCAATTGAAGGATCAAAGATTTCAATCGTCATTTTTTCTAAAGGATATGCTTCTTCTAGTTGGTGCCTCGAAGAACTTGTTGCGATCGTCAAATGCAGGAGAATGTACGGTCAGATTGTGATACCAGTTTTCTATCATGTAGATCCATCACATGTAAGAAAACAAACGGGGACTTTTGGAGATGCATTTGCTGGGCATGAAGTAAGATTTAGGGAAAGAGAAGAGATGGTGCAGAGATGGAGGAATGCTTTGACGGAAGCAGCCAATCTATCTGGCTTCGATTCAAATTCCATCAGGTGAATGCTTTTACTTTGATATTATTTTCTCATTGAAGTTCTACTCTTGCATGATACTTTTTCTTTTTCTCAACATAAATACATATTTAAAAAGAGTTCTTAATTTGATAACTAACAATTAACTTATCTTTTCATAAAGCTATATTTTTAAATTCATCAGAAGGCAGATTTTTGTTTTTAAGCATCAATGTTTACTGTACATGTTCCGCTTTTGAGATACGGAAGACAACAAACTATTGGCTTCCCATCTTTCATCTTAAATTAAAATTTAAACCCCATTTCTAAATTTATCCCAGAAAAATTTTAAACATCCATGTTAAGAATCAATCAAACTCAACCTAACCTGTTCCTCTATCAGCAAACAGTCAAGAAACAAGAACACGGAAGATTTTACCGTGGTTCGTTTATTCCAATGGAATAAACTACATCCACGTTGAGCTCCAAGCAAATTGGGACTCACTACACTATAAGGATCAAAGTGTTACAAGTACAACACAAATCACACCCGAAATACTCAACTCTCAACCCGTTACAAAAAACCCTCAAATCTCACTGTAATCACAATAAGCAAACCCAGAAAACTGTAGGCTTACACCAGAAGAATACCTAATCCTTTTACTCACAATATTCTCAAAAAGTGATCCGATTACAAGACTTGATCTAGAGCACCAACACAAGAACCCTAACCCTGTTGCAAAACGCGAATAATAGAGTTTTCTAATCACTGTTTTTTTTTTCCCTTCAGAATTTGTGGCTTTATATACTTTGACTTGTTGGGCTGGTGAGAGTCGTTAGATCAGGCTGCATCCGACGGCTGAGATTCGTCACTTGAGTTAACATTAAAATGACAGCGTATTGATAGGTGGAATACGACACCGTTTAAAGCTTCACTCAACAATTCAAATTTACGAACAAACCCCACTCTTTTCCAAACGAATTCTTATATTTTATTTTTTACTTCTCATATTGTATTATGTTTGCTTGATATCATATTTTTATTTTCATAGATCTTTGTTTTATAAAAGATTTATTTCTTATTGTAAGCAAAGAAGCTAAGTTAACCAATCATCCCAGCACAAATTCATAATCAAGGCCATAAATTAGACTTTGTCTTTATTTCTTTTTCATTAATTTATTGATTAGCATATTGTTGTTTTTACCTCTTGTTTCAATTGTAGGTCTGAATCAAAACTTATGGAGACAATTAGTGAACATATTTTGAAGAGATTGAATGATATGTCATCTAGTGATAACAAGAACTTGGTTGGAGTAGCAATGAAGATCCAGAAAATTAAATCTTTATTGTTGAAGGGGTCGGATGAAGTATGTAAAGTAGGAATTTGGGGTATGGGTGGTATAGGCAAGACTACTCTTGCCAATGCAGTTTTCAATGAAATCTCTAGTCAATTTGAAGCTTCTTCTTTTATTCGAAACGTTAGGGAAGCATCAAATAAAAATCAACTATCTTACTTGCAAAAAGAACTTTTTTCTACAATATTAGAGGATGGACAGCTCAATATAGGACTCACATTCACAAAAGAAAGGCTTGGACATAAAAAGGTTCTTATTGTTTTTGATGATGTGACGGATTTGAAACAAATAAAAGAATTAATTGGAGATCTAGAATACCTGGGTTCTGAAAGTCGAATCATTATAACTACGAGGGATAAACAAGTGCTTTAAAATTGTGGGCTGAATGATTCTACCATATATGAGGTTGAAGGATTATGTAGTGATGAATCTCTTCGACTATTTAAACAATATGCCTTCAAAAGAAATGATCAAATTGATGAAGTTTATATGAAGTTATCAAATAGAGTAATAAGTTATACACAAGGTTTGCCTTTAGCTCTTGAAGTCTTAGCTTGCTTTCTGCTTGGTAGAGAACAATTTGAATGGGAAAGTGCACTGGATGAATTAAAAAAAATCTCCGAATGAGGTTATCCAAACAGTGCTTAAGATCAGTTATGATGGATTAGGTGATAGAGAGAAGGATTTGTTTCTAGATATTGCATGCTTCTTTAAAGGATGGGATAAATATCTAGTCGGTAGCTTCAGCTCACATATTGGAATAAGTGTTCTTATTGATAGAGCTCTTATAACTATTTCAGACAACACCATAGGAATGCATGATTTGATTTGAGAAATGGGTTGGGAAATTGTTCGACAAGAGCCCGTTAATAAACTTGGCCAACGTAGTCGATTATGGCATCATGATGATGTCTATAATGTATTGAAAAAAAATCTGGTAAGTATGCAAGACATTAACTTCCAATTTCTATTTTATATTATTTGTGATATCTCGAAAAGTTTTAATTAGGTGATTATTTGTTTCATTTTTCCTTATACAGTAGTTCAATGGTAACAGGCTTTGGGGTTTGGGAGGTAATTGTAATTATGCTATTAACTTATATTTGAATTTGATTGTAGGGAACTGATAAAATAAGAGGCCTACACATTGATATGTCTAAAATGAGAAAGATAGACTTAAACCCTCATGCTTTCTCAGACATGGATAATATAAGATTCTTGATAGCAGATGAAGCAAAATATAATTACAGTAAGGTGTATGGTTTTGAAGGCCTAGAATTTGATTTCACAGAGCTAAGATGCCTCTCTTGGGATGCTTACCCCTTCAAGTCGTTGCCGGTGAAATTTTGTCCGGAGAACCTTGTTGTACTTAAGATGCACCGTAGCAAACTTAATCAACTTTGGACTAGTGTCAAGGTATATTTTGATTTCATATGAAAATTCTCTTTTATATATTTTAAATATTAGATTGTCTAATTTGTGTTGGTCATTTCATTTTTTGTTACAGGATCTTGCTCATTTAAAATACATTAATCTAAGTTACTCATATCATCTACTTAAAGTCCCAGACCTCTCAAGGGCTCCTAATCTAGAGAGCTTGATTTTAGAAGGTTGTACAAGTTTGTTGGAGATCACTTCTCCATCTCGGAATCTCAATAAACTTGTTCATTTGAATCTAAGAAATTGCAAAAGCCTTATTAGTCTTCCACTTGGTATTCAATCAAAGTCTCTAAGAGATGTTATCATCTCAAACTGCTCTAAGCTCAACACTGCTCCAAGGATCTCATGTAATATGGAACGATTGTGTTTGGATGGAACTGCAATAAAAGAATTATCTTCTTCCATCGAAAGTCCTTCTAGCCTAGTTGAATTGAATCTTAAGGACTGTTTAAGGCTTGAAAGTCTTCCCAGCAGTGTTTGTAATTTGGAATCTCTTCATCACCTTACTCTTTCAGGTTTGTCAAATCTAAAGTTTGTTTTAGGGATCCCATGCAATATAAAAGAGTTACATTTAGATGGAACTGCTATAAAAGAATTATCTTCGTCAATTGAGAATGCATCCAGTCTAGTAAGATTGACTCTTAAAGATTGTTCAAGCCTTGAGAGTCTTCCAGACGGTATTTGTAAATTGAAGTCTTTAAGATATCTTTGCATCTCTGGTTGTTCGAAACTTGCCAGATTGCCTGAAGACATAGGAAATTTAAAAAGCTTGGAAGTGCTAGAAGCTAATGGAGTTACTATAAGAGAATTACCTTCGTCTATTGTACGTTTGGAAAACCTTCATGATTTATCTTTAGAGAGATTGGAGAGATGTAACAGTCAAGAGCTGCTGTGTTCGCTATCCTGTGCTTTCACAGGTTTGCTATTTTTAAAGAGATTAAGTTTGAATCACTGCAATATCACAAAATTACCTGATAATATTGGCCAGTTGTCCTTACTTAGAGATTTAGAATTAGCTGGAAATAGTTTTGAGAGCGTACCAACAAATATCGTGAACCTCTCTAACTTATGGCTCCTTGACATAAGGTTTTGTATGAGGCTTCAATCCTTACCAAAACTTCCTTGTAAGATACTACAACTAAAGGCAGAGGGTTGCAAATTGCTGTAAGCATTATCAAGTTTGATAATTCCAAATCGTGGATTGTACAACCGGAGATTTAGCTTCATCAACTGCCTAAATCTGGATTGGAATGTTCTCAAAAACGTTTTGAATGATGCTTTATCGGAAATGTACTCTCTATGGTTGGAATTTAGAGAGGTACTTCAGTCTCTCTCGTTCCCATATGATTTCAATTTCTTTCTCTCTTATAAATAAAAAATCATATTAAACTAAAAATTTAGAACTAACAATTTTTATGGTACAGCGTGGAGTTGGCCTTCCAGACGGTGTCATGTGTTTCCCTGGAAGTGAAATTCCAGATTGGTTTAACATTCAAAGTTGTGGATCTTCTATAGAGCTACCACAAGGTTCATTCAATCATAAGTTTTTGGGTTTAGTCTTTTGTGCCTTTGTCGGAGTCCAAAATTATAATCATTCTTACAAAGGTGATTATCACATGCAAATTGAGTATGAGTTGCATTTGAAATGCGAAGATGGTTACAATAGAGTTGCTAAAAAACAATTTTCGGTTAATGAACCCAAGAATATTGAGTCAGATCACATATTCCTGGGGTATAATTGCAATCAATTTGATTTCCGTGAATTCCCTTGCAATACGGAGGCCATTATCAATTTCAGTTGCAATAAGTTTTGTCTTCGTAAAATTACTAAAGATACGAAGGACAACATCAATTCCCAAGCCAAACTCTATTTGAAGAAGTGTGGGATCCGTTTATTGTACACTCAGGAGTTTGAGGAACCTATGAAAAGATCCAGATGTCCTGTCTTTGGCGAAGAGGAAGAGCAAGAAGAAGTACAGTCTAAGAGATTGAAACCTTCAAAATTCTTTAAAGGCGAATCTGGCTCCAGGTAATTAAATAATATGTATGTCTTCTTTGCTGCATGTAATTTAAGTAATGCTCTCTCCATGCTCTACACTATTTTCGTGTGATTGATTTCTGAATGATTTTCTCCTGGTCTCAAATATGATGTATATAATTTTCATCTCAATCCTAAAATGTTACTAAAATATTATATATGTATGATCAATTGAACATGTTTTACTGTGCATGTGGTTTTGTCTTAGTTGCTGTATTACCTATATAGACTAAAATAGATTTAACTTTTCCTGATCCATATGAATTGCAAGGATTTATTTCATCATATACTAATTGTTCGTTCATATTTTTGATATGCTTTTGTTGCTTCTTATGGTATCAATTTGAATGTAAAAGGGTCTGGGGTGCATCTACTACCACACAAGAAAGAAGGGGAAGAGTTCAGTCCAACTACAAATGAACCCATTAGCTTTACTCTTTTTGATTTGGATGAATTCCCTGGAGATTTTATTACATCACCTATTTCTATTTCTGATCCGGATGAAGACAATGATGGAGATTTGGTCAAATCACAGCCCTTTACTTCTTTGGATTTGGATGATTTCCCTCAAGATTCTGTCAGTTCACCTATTATTATTATCTCTGATTCGGATAAAGACAATGATGGGTAAAACATAGTGGAAGGGTCTGCCTTTATGATGAAGATGAATGACAACCTAAGGAATTCAAATTCTTTTGAATGGGAAAAGCCTATATCTTGTACTTTCATTTTGTGATCATATTGGTAAGTCTGAATTTCAATTTCTGGCTCAAATATATCTATCTAATTTTGCTCTCATATTCAATAAATATTCAGTAAGTTCAGAAGCTGAATGTTATTTTCTAATGAGAATAATAATATGTATCAATATGAGGATATACTGCTTGGATAATTATAGTTATTTGTTAGTTTATATCTACAGTTAGAGAAATATTTAAAATACTGTTTATTCATATTTGCAATTGTTAGATATTGTTTGCAAAAATTATCTCAATTCATTCAAAGTATTGCGTCAAACAGTTCATTTATACTTTGGATAATTCAAAGCCTCTGAGAAAAAGTTATCACAATTTTACTAGTGAAACTGAAAAGCTCAATTTTATTTGTTCAATATGACATTTTGATATGGTTTGGATTTGAGCTTTGCTTATATATTATGTTTAAGTAGAAAAACTCATGATCCACAATCTTTGTATTGATTACGTGAGAATGGAAGACGCCAAGGCACTGCTACAAACTGGCACTAAGCCACAAAACATATTTAAATTCACGCTTAATTTGTACTTTGCATTTGGCTGTGCACCTAATGACATGTATTTATGTTGGTTTCTTGGATGCATTTACTACAAGGGATAGATTTAATATGAAAATTCATTGATTGGTGAAAAATAACATTCTTGCTGGAGAGGTATAAATGCTGTTGGAGTCCCTTGGGCCTGGTCTCACACTGCTACAAATGGTTTACTAAAGGCAATCTACTGGCAACCGGTGGTGATGATGAGCTTGAATACTTATGGGGGCCTTCTAAATTGAGTTCAACCAAATTCTTGTACTGATTTATTGCGCATTGTGATGCAGTTAAGGTCCTTGCATGGTTCCTTGTCAATCTAACGTTCTTGGCTCTGGAGGAAGCACAGAAGATGGATGTATTACGATATGGAATTTACAATGGAGGACCTGCATCAGCAATACTGTAGAACAGGCAAGTGAAATAATTCACTCTTTCTTATGAGTTTTCTATAGAAACTACAACTTATTGGTGCCATCTAAGAGACATTTCCATCTATGATAACATTTTTGTTGCCTATCGATACTTGTGAAGTGTTTGTTTTTTACCTTATGTATGGCAATTTGATGTAACATATCCAGATATGTGGACTGGAGCAGAACTGGTATCAAAAAGAGATACTGAGTGGAGCTTTTGGAAACAGCCTGCAATGGCTAAAGTTGGGGAGTAAAGCTGCAACGCTTTAGAGTCCTTGAGCTTTCTCAGGTTTGACTATCTGACTATCTTTGGTTTGGAACCCAGTATCTTGTATTCTTAAATAAATGCAGCTGACTTCCTTAAGTCAATGTTTTGCCTCGATGGCCAAATGTTGGTATCAGCTGGGGTGGACTGATGAAACCCTTTGTTTCTGGGAGATTTTTAAACCACCTGCCATTGAAGATTCAATTGTTTCATATCTTGACAACCATCTCATCTCAAAGGACAACTAATGATGGTGAGCAATGGAAAAATCAGTTTGTTGCAAGCTTTTCTTTTTCTCCATTTTTTATTTATTGCACAGAAACTCTGCAGTTCTTTTTTCTTATTGTTGTCTAGTCTAGTATATATATTTTGGCTGTTACCATTCGTAAATGTGAAAATAGAACAAGGCATTACAGGGAAGCAATAATCGATAAAATAATTTGTTATAATGCATTCATTGTGCAAATGATTTGCTTAACTTAGCTTTCAACTTTTGATTTTTTATAAATACAACTTTCATCATCAGTACTTGTGAACCTTTTGGCTGTCCTTGCATTTTCTAGGACTGTAGTTAGATAATGGACTCTAGGTATTCATAAGAAGTCAGCAAGTTAATATTCCACCTTAGATGGTATCATATATACTGGCCAAAATTAGGTGAGTTAGACGTTTACTAGGAATACTGGCAATGAAGATCCACCATTAGATAGATGAATTCAAGTCTACCGTGCATTGTTATTGGTTGATTACAAAATTACTTTGGGCTAATGTGAGGATATGTTTATGGTTACTGTTTAAACTTGCCAGAGGGAAGGGTCTTTTTAGAAGGTAGAGGAAACAACTTACACAGTCCACAACTGATTTTTTCAAGTTAGTACCATTTGCAGTTTCTTGCTATAGTATTTCTCAAATTATTCCTAACATGTTGCCGTCAACCTTCCATGACAAGATGAAAGAAGAGGTAATAGTTGAAATTACTGTCACAAAAATGCTTGATTGCTTTATCACAGTTGCATAAGCCGTATTCATCCTGAGTCTTAGCAGTTGTAGCTCCTAAATGTTGATGATGTGCTTCCATTTGTCAGTCTTGTTATTGACTCATGAAATGGAGACAGCAGACGATCTGGATGAGTTTATGAACGAGGTTATAATTTTTTTCCCCTTTGCCTAACAAGGGAAGTGGGCTTACTCTATGTTTTAACTGTTCTGTTTTCTGCTGGCAATAATTTAGTTTTAGGTTCTGCCATTGAACACTTTACAGTGCTGGTGTATTGAATGATGAAATTTTAGGCTTTGGCAAGCTAATATTGATGAACATACTTTGGATAACATTAGCAGGTTGATTTTGTATAATCATTCCTCCAATTTTTGGGGTTATACTGGCCATTTATTTTATTACTTTATTAGCAGGGTGTGTAGTCGTTTTCAGATGCAGAGCTTCAACAAGCCTGTAGAGACTGAAGGTTACTTGGATTGTTTTCAGTGGATGGATAAAATGTGGCAACAGGTTCATGCTCAACATATATCTTTTACATTTACAAATAATGCAAGCTTTGTATCAAAAGTCCTTTTTCTTAGTTTCCTCCATAGATGGGTGTTGCATTCACTGGCCAACTCTTCTCTTCCATATTGTCAGCCGTGAGCCTTCAACCCGATTATGACATTGCATGAAATGTCTTGCTTTATTATTATTTGGAAAGAATTATTAATAACAAATTAAAAAGTATGTCAACTGGCTGTCTACTCATGATATCCAGACTACAAAAAGAACAAAAATGATTTTCCTTTTTGCATATATGGGGTATGCTAATCAATAACAGCTCTTTGGAGTTGTATTTTAGTTGTCTAATCAGACATCTTTGACACTAAACTAAACTTATGAAGCTTTGTAACTTACATGACTTTCGTTTGCGGATAATGCTGGCAACTGCAATTGCTTCAAGGTTTTATTATATTTTTCTCTGCATATAATTTAGTGGAAAAGTTCCTGAGTCCGGCTTCTAATTCAGTATTTCTCTTTGTAGTTGCGTTAATGCTGAATTTGTTCTCTGCATCACTTGGTACTATCTTTTCTTTTGATTCTTTCTAAGTAATGTTTGTCTTGGTTTCTAGACAAGAGTATCATATTGAAAGAAGATGAGAGGAAGAACTTACTTCATTTGCTGTCTGGCCAGTATCTGCTGCAACAGTATTGCAATTCCAGAATTCAGTGGAAGGAATACCGTTGGACAAAAAGAATTTAGAGTAGAGAGCTGAGCTTTGCGAGGTGGTACTAGAAGAGAACAAAGGATCAGATGAATAAGGGAATTCTTGTTTGTTAAAAATACCAGTTTGGAGATACTTCAGAGGTTCTTAGTTATTATGGGAACATATAAAACATTATTCAGAATTTTCATAAAGTAGAATGTATCATTTTCCTGGCTCGGTTGGAGAGGTCATGAATCTGTAGCCCCACTGAGTTATCTGTTGTCTGTTGAAGCTATGAAGGATGGCTCTGACCATGTTTTTTTGTCGATTGCAGAATGTCCATATACCATTTGTAAATTGTTTGGATTCATTGAGAGCGCAAGACCCACATCCAACTTGTTTTCATATCTAACTTCGATCTGATAACCGGAGGATCTTAGATATTTTGTTGCTGGTTTTGACTTTGATAAGAGATTTGAAATTGAAAGTTTGAGTTTGAAAAAAATTGTAAAATGAAATAAGGAAAATATTAACTAGATCTATGTGGTTTGATATATTAATAACAATTCCTATGGTTGCAAAAATATTAATGAATACAAGGATTGTTCGGGGCGCACAGGGGTCTGATTTGGCAAGCTTTGATGGCTGGTTTTTGTGAGCTTTGATCTAAGGATTGTTTATCCTCTCTGTTGGGTTCTTTTTGCCTGAGTTGTCTCTTTGGCTTTTGTAAAGGGATGTTTTGTTTAAGGGTCTACCCCTCTTAGTTGTTTCTTTATCCTTTATAAAATTACCAATTAACCAAACCTTGCCTTTGGGATGAGTCCTAGCTTTGAACTGAACCTTTGGTTTGAACTTGTAGATGAATCTTCCAACTTCGGGACTAGACCATTTGCCATTGGTGGCATGGAAAGGCTCTCCACACGAAAAAGAAAATAAAGTGGGCAAGACGCCAAGCAAAGACCTTGGACGCCTATGCCTGAGTGAAAAGTTCGATAGAATTCCTTCTTCTCATCTGGTAGCGTGAACAACCATAATCCCTGTGATCGTACCTTCTCTTGAGTTTAGTTCCATAGAATGAATCTTCTAATTAGTTAGCTTGCCAGGTTTAAGAATTCCTCCTGGTCAAGGGTCAGCGGTCGCCCTGTCACAAGTCTCCCCGTCACAATTCATCCCTTACAGAGTGCGCAAGGTGCGCAACAGTGTAATTCGAGTTCTCGTGCTCGTCTTGTTCTTATCTTATAGGAATAGCAGTTTAGTGTGATATGATAAGTCGGTAAATCAATCTATCTATTATTAGCCCATCATCTGGACCTTATTCCTTCCTATGGAAGTCTACTTTTGGCTCGTATGAAACCCAAAGGAAAGCCCGAAAAAACATCAACTAAATAGAAGTAAATCTCTCCAACTGGCTCAATGGAACTGGCAGAGACTGAGAGACTAGCATCTGACTGGTTTTTATCTTTCCCTCGAGATTTCTTTTTCTTAAGTCTAACAAGAGCTAAGAGAGTGTTCCAGAAGAACTTAGAATTAGAATTCTATCTTTGGGGATAAATAGATATATTTCTTTTCCTAATCTTTATTTCATTTACCTAGGGGTCTTTTTAGACTTTCCCAATGAAAAGCAGATTTGAACCCTAATACTACTCTCTTACAAACTCACTCTCAAGTGTGGATCCGACTGTACAGAACCCCCTAATATTAATGAATATGAAACCCCCTAATATTAAGGCTGCGCTAGTTTAAGTTTTTAGAATAGTATTCTATTCTAAATACTATTTAATCATAGGATAAGATTATTTTTGAAAAATGTTTTCTGAAAATATTTCTTAATTTAACTAAACACCCTTACAATTAAAGTTTATAAATTAACAAAAACACCTTACGCACTTAACTATTATCGACAATCGACCATCATCGTTGGACGGTGGTTGGAAACTGTCAGAATGGTGCATGATCGACTGGATTTGATCAATCGTGCGTCGATCTAGCCGAAAGTGGTTAAATCTAGGGCCAAAGACTTGGTTGTTGTTGACGGCTAAGATATGAATAGGATTGTAAGATAGGATAGTGTTTAAAAATCGAACCAAACGAAGCCTAAATTATTTTTATTAGTTTTATAGTTGACCTGTTTTGAGTTGTGAAATTGTAAGAATATCCCTTACTTCTTACATTCAAATGGGATATGATCTTTATTATTCAAGTTAACGATATCCTAAAGGCAGGAGGTGCTGATATTGTTGAAACCATGGATTAGCCTTTTTATATTAGCCAAAATTAAACATATTGGATGTTGGTGATAGTCAGATTATTAAAGATGATAGGAGCATTGTGAAGGTGGTTTTAGAGTTTTTTTTTTTAAAAGCTTTAAAGGAAGGATTGTTAGAGTAAGAATAAGGTTTGTTGTGGAGTGCTCTGGATGGACACAAGGCAAATTAGCTGGAGAGAGCATTTGAGGAGGAAATAGAAAAGGCGAGTTTGAATCCTGCAAAAGTTGTTTTGGATCTGATGGATGGNGGTGGAGCATTAATGTTGTGATAGGCCCCCTGCTGAGCATTCGTCGTCGCGTAGGGGCTCTGGTGAGCGTTTATGTTTCGGTACGGGCTGTGCTGTGCATTTATGCCCTGATAGGGGCTTTGCTGTGAATTCATGTTATGATACGACCTTTGCTGCGCATTCATGTTATGATATGAGCTTAGTGGCAGCGCATTATTCATGTCATGAAATGAGCTCTGCTGCGCGGTCGTGCTATGATATGAATTTTGATGCACATTCATGTTTTGATACGAGCTTGGTTGTGCACTCATGTTCTGATACGAGTTTTGCTGGGAGTCCATGCTCTGGTAGGGGGCATGTTGGGAACTCATATTCGGCCCAGAAGAGGTCATATAGGACTTAAGTATACTCTGTGCAGCTGCCAAATGCTCAGAAGATCCACGGATGTCAACCACACACTCAGAGCCACCGGACTGAGGATCTTGCAGCTTAATCCTAGCTCCAGCAACCTAGAATTTATGAAAGAGACAATTAGAAGTCCATCTGCCATATTATATATAATTATACACTTTATATAAGCTCCTTTAATATTTCTGGCAAATCTGACATTTCAAAAAAATAAAATCCTTTGTTTGTAATATTCATATAAATGCCCTGGAAAGGAGCCACTAAGAAATGTAGCTACCAGCAAGGATGAAAAGAAAAATAATAAAACAAACATCTAAGGATATTTAGGCTCCGTTTGATTCACTATTTTGGAAGTTTCTAGAATAGTCTTTTGAAAAAAGTTGAGTTGAGTAGTATTTGAAGAAGTTTCCTGTACAATTTTCAATAACATTTTCTGAAAATAATTAGATTATTTTTTAACCCCTTGGGTTTGTTAATTTAACTAAACACCTTCACCCACCCACATTTGTCAAATTCCAACCACCACCGTCAGAAGGTGGCCAGAATCTGCTGTAATGGCGCACTACCAACTGGATATGGCCGGTAGTACGTCGATCTGGCCGTTGACGACGACCAGATCTTAGCCGTCAAGATCAAACTGCACTCATGCCTCTCCTGCATCAAGTTGACCGCCCTCTCCTTATCCCTAAGTAGTGATTCTATCAATCATGCACATAGGTGGGGCCCTCCATTCTGATTGGTATATCATGAAAAAAGAAAGCCATTTGCACCAGGCATACTGCGCTTTCCCTTGCCCAGATGTTCGCCTTTCTATTCTAAGTCAAGTAACCGTGACCCGCCGAAGACTGGAGCCTCGCCAACGTGAAACTTCCCTAGGGGATAGGAACGTATTGAATCAAAGAGCAGGCAGACAAGACTTTAGCGAACGAGCAATCTCCAATTCCCGCTAATCACTCTACTCCTCCTGTGAACCATTGATGAGCCAGCCGAGCTTGTTTGTTTAGTTTGATATTTTCTATCTCTGAGTAAGGCCCTTTGATGTAAGGGGTAAAAGAATGAGCTAAGCGCCGAACGAAGAACAATACCAAGGTGAGTACAAGGATGTGGTGAAGAATACTGAGAAAAAAAGCTCTGAACTAAACCATATTGAGCACAGGTCTCACTCTACAAGTTCAGTTTGATGAGCTCCTATCGAACCTGTGAAAGTTTTGTTTTTGACTAAATTAAGAAAGACGGGCTTTATTGCAGCGAAACGACGGCCAAGATATGGTCGTCATCAATGGCCAAAAGATTTGGCTAGATCTCGCCGTCAACGGCCAGATCTGACAACCGTAAATCTAGCATTTTTCGGCCAGAATTGCCGTCGATAGTGACCCGATTTGGCCTTTTCCGGCCAGATCTGACAACCGTAAATCTAGCCTTTTTCGGCCAGAATTGCCGTCGGTAGTGACTCGATTTGGCCTTTTCCGGCCAAATCGGGTCACTACCGACCATATCCAGCCGGTAGTGTGCCATTACGACAGATTTCGACCACTTTCCAACGGTGGTGGTTGGAATCTGGCGAATGTAGATGGGTGGGGGTGTTTTTGTCAATTTATAAACTTTTATTGTTAGGGGTATTTAGTTAAATTAACAAACTAAGGGGTTAAACATAATCAAAATATTAGAATGGTATTGTGTTTTGAAGAGAATTTTGAATATTGAAACAAATGTGTATTTGGATAGGATAGTAGAGTAAGATAGGGTTAAAATAGTGACCCAAATGAGCCCTTATTTTCTGATATCCAAATAACAGAAATTTCTATCATCCAGGATAGGAGCCACCACTACGAAGTGTAGCCACCAGCATAGCCACACTACCAACTACAATTACATTCTAACCCCAAGTTAAAGAAAAGGAAGCCAAATGATACTCTCTCCAAATAGGTGTTTTAAGTGTAGAACGATGTGCAAAGTTTCAACCATATTTTTCTTCATTGCTCAGTTCCTTTAAAACTATGGTTTAAGATCTTTAAAGAGGCTAAAACAGCTCTAGTGATTCAGAGGCTTAGGATGCATCATTTACTGAACACCATAATGCATCTAGAGGGATATGCAAATATAGGAGATTTCTACCATCCTAGATGCTGGGGACGTTCAAGTTAGGAGCATTCCATGAAGATTACTTAATCCTAATCCAATTGCCCAAACTTTCCTCCTACGATTCCTTCCTCATAAGGTAGAATCCTAATCCAATGGCCCAAACTTTCCTCTTAAGATTCCTTCCTCATAAGGTAGAAAGAACCATAAATAAATAATCACCAATTTTCCCCAAAAGACTAGAACATGCTCTACATAAACTAAAGGTTGATCATCCTAGTTAGTCCCACCGTAATTATACCTAACATTCCATCCCTTCTATTAGAATTACGGTAAAAAAAAATACCTCACCGACATTCGAAATGCTGCTCCCCCCAGTTTCCATAATATAACCAATTGTGTTGTTATGAATCCTGGTCTCCAAACCACTGTTCATATTTGGGTACCTGAAATGTTCACAGACCAACAACAGAATCAATCACACTATTTAAACATAATATTTGTAACAGAAGTATATGCAAAAGGCACCAGTACCCAGTAGCAGGTGGGGGAACAGGATAACTCTGAGGTTCGTAGTCACGTCCACCCTTCAGAAGAGCATCAATAAATTCCCAGTTATCACTGACAGATATATTTATTGTAATCTTAAAACATTGAAAACACTTAAAGAAGCTTGCTCATTAGTTTGAAATATGCCTCCAGGAAAAGATAACTATAATAAATGTCAAGCTATCATGCATGATAACATTAACATAATAATTGAAATCATTTATCTCAAGAATGCTAATTATCAGACATTGATCAATTCAAGAATATAAAACAGTCCATATAAGCAGTATGACAATTAACCTTTATAACAACTGCACAAAAACACTTAACCTCAGAGTAAACAAAATAAACAAGATTTATAAGAAAATGAAGAGGAAAGAAATAGAAAACAAATACCCTGAGAGAATCATATCCACCAGAACTGCCGGCTCTCATAGTGCCAGATAATGGGGGTCCCCTGCCTGGTAAGCTTCCAGCAGAGCCAAATCGCTGGACAGGCCCAACAGGAACAGGTTCTGCTCCAACATCCCGCAGAGTTCTCACTCTAAGTCTTGATCCAATCTCTGCCAAAGCATCTTTAGCAACAGCAAAATTTCCAGATATCTGAATGTAAAAGGGAAGGATTCGTTTCATAGATGCAAAGCTGAAGGAATGAACAAAAAATTCAATTTGATAAGGCGATGTCTATAATGAAATGCCTTATGCAATCATATCACCTGCACAAGCTCTTCATCCTCAGAGGCACACTTAGGCTTATCATCTTTAGAGTAAACACGAATGTCTGCCTGGGTTCTCCTTCTCATCTCATTGATAACATGACCTCCTTGCCCAAGGATGCATCCAACCTTACTTGATGGAACAAGAAGTCTAGTAACGATAGTACCTCTCTCAGAGAATTCACCTGCTTTATTCTGAAGCTGAAGGATTGCATCAATAGTTTGCGATCTTGGGTTCCAAAGCCCCTGAAACAATATCCCTACAATGATCAAAAACCATATGAAGTAAAAGATGGGGATGTAGTTACGTGTAATAAGAAAAGAAAAAAGATGGGACCTCAATAGCAGAGACACGAATCACACGCTCATCTGAATCTGTCGATGCATCTTCAACATGAATACTAGTTCCAGTCTCCTGCTGTAACTGTTTTACATTAAAGCCTCCCTTGCCTATAACTCCACCGATCTTCCCTGCCGAGCACAAAATTTTCATAGAAAATTCAGCTGAAGTTTCTCCCCTGTGTCCAGGAGGAACATCATTAAAGCCACCAGATCCAAATCCAGAGGGCTGGTTTCCATATCCCCCCATCCATGGCATCGGTGGCATACCATGAGAACTAGAATTCCTAGGTGGCCACATTGATTTTCCTGGTGAATGCACACTTGTCGTGGGAGGTCCAGGAGGATGAAAACTTTGACCCCCATAAGGCACAGGGAAGTTTGTAGGAGGTTTGTCTTTGCGTGGATTTTGATGCAATAGAGTAGACACTTCATAGAGAGCCCTCTTTGCAACATCTGGTTTTCCAGATATCTGCAAAATACTTTATACAATTACACATTGTAGGGAATTGTAAGACAATGCAATATTGTCCATAACAATTTTCCCAAACTATAAGCACATCATAGTTCAACCAGGAATGTAGGAAAAATATATCAAGGAAATAATGGTCTAGGAACAAGGAATTCACAATGTATAAGTTGCAGATAGAATGAGGTACACCGTACAAATGGTGTCGTTGATAACAGAGAGCTATAATCTCAGTAACATCATGGCATCTTCAATTATTTGAATACATCAATCAAGTTGATTTTTACAGTCTGTGCACAGGTAACATAAGCATAAATTTCATACATACACATTCAGAAGCAGCCAAGATGCAACAAAATATCTTGAATCTCTTAAGATATGACTTAAGTGAGATATATATAGAACTATATCAATGAGACATGCTATTGACATATGCTAGAAAGTTATACCAACTCTAAATAATAATGATACTACTTAAGGGTGGTCAGACTGATAGTCGAGTACCTATAATAGAATCAAGCACACTCCCAAATGAGGAGGGCTCATGAAGTGAGGAGTTATCCTTACGCATTTGAGACTTGTCAATAGCTGTGACACCTTCGAAAACCAATGAATCACAGATCAAGAATCAAGAACACATCAAAATCTGAAATTCAAGGTATTTGGATTCACCCAACTTAAGACCACAAACAATAAATCATGCAATTGGAACAATCCAATTGATCTGAACCCAGCAAAGTCAAAACCGGTATCAAAATCATGCTGCACTACTCCCGTATCAGATGAGATTTGAAGATTTATGGATTATGTTGTTTAGTAAAATTATTCAAAATGAATTCCTTCCTTCAACCAGTGTGGCAGTACCTAATTATACAGAATACAGGCAAACATAGCCAAGATGCAGCCAAAATTATAAATTATTATACTAAATAAGATTGCATTTCACATTTTGAAAATTATCATAGAGACTCAAACTAGGAACATAGCTCTGGTATCCATGCATGTGGGCTGGGGCAATTGACTATAAAATAGTGTTTACTGATGGAATATATTCATCATATAAAAGGCTGAAAATCTTTTAAAACTTTTAGAAAGTAAGGTAGGCATAATCCAGAAATGTCAAGGAAAAATTTAAAACTATCTTCCAAAAGGAAAATTAATACAGCACGGAAATGACCAAGAGACAACAAAAGAATAGACCAAGGAGAAAATAACAGAAGCTCAAAATATGACAAGCAAGATTACTTGCTAAAAACTTATATTCCTAAAGGGTCGTTCACTGGGTTACTCCTTTGGAGCCAACATAACCACACAAGCAAAGATCTCTCTACCCACCTCTTCTGCAGGCCTGATATCATCAATAGCATTTGCGTCCCACCACTTAGTCAAAACATGACTGAATCCTCCAGGTGCCTTCATGTTTGGACACACTTCTCTCCAACTCAAACTTGCGCCAAAAACTAATTCCTTCTGGAACACTTTATACCACTAAATGGATCACTTCAGCTCTTTAAGAAAGCAGACAGTCACTGACCTCTCTGGAAAAGAGCACCTGCAGCCCACTATGCTGATTCACAAGGTGGAACTTAAGTGAGAAATCCATCAATACCGATTCACAAAGGTCCCAATAAATCTCAAAAGTGAAAAAAGATATGTTTCTTAAAATACTGCAAGTCCTAGAACATTCTCGGGCACTGCGAATTCTTGTACATAACAACACTAATTTTAATTTCTAATAAGCCTTTTATGAAAATTTTCTAATGTACCCTTTTCCAAACGAGCAAACTTCAACAAGTGACTGCAGGAAGTAACACCTAAAGCTACTACACTGAGTTTAGGATCAAGGGTTCCCAAGACACAAATGATAAGTCTTATGCCAGGATTCAATTTATCCATCTAACGACTACACATGTAACATCAATAGCACCTTGGTCCTTGAAAAATCAATTAACCTTAGTATACAATGGGCCCTTTTAAATAAGACAAGAGAAGTCCTTGCTTAGTGATGAATGCTGCTAAAAGTTCCATTTGGTAAGGCTTGGTTATGAGAAGACCTAGACTAAATCCAAAAACCAGAAGCAGCCTCATTTCACAGTCTAAATCAACAAAAGACAGTCACAATCTTAGAATGTTGACCAAGTGGTTAAATCACTAACCCGCAAAATCTCATTGAAAGGTGTTGTGGTTAGGCAACCAAGGTCCTAACTAATAGGAATGGACAATTAACATATAAATAGGCCAGACAATCTAATAATTATCTCCTACTATCAAACATTTAGACAGCTTAGAAAACCTAGCATAACAAGAAAAAAAACTGCATAAAAATAATGCAGAAAAGCAACACCATCTTAGTACACCCCATTTTATATACATCAGAAATCCCCCAAACCAGATTAGCTAATTCAATTTCAAAACTGAGAACCTCCCAATCCTTGTAATCTTTGGAAAGCAAGAAATTCTTAACTTTTCACTGGGTAGGTGACCAAGAAGATCTTTACGCATAACATAACAAGTTTACATATGAATATAACTTTTGGTTATCAAGTTAAAAGTTTTAAGAAGTTACAAGATGCACCAATAAAATTACTAGTCCAACATAAGTCCGTTTGATCACAGTAAGAAAGAATGCTTAACACCCTATAAAGCTTGTCAACTGGGAGCAGAACTTTCCAATAAGAAAGAAAGTCTATATTGAAAAGTTCACAAATCATAACAAACTTTAAAAAGACAAGAATAATCACATCAGCCTGATACCACATCCGCATATCTTGTCAATTTTTTCTACATGAGCCAATATCTCATCTAAAGCAACCTAGACAGAATTAATTAAAGTTAATATTCCATTCCCACGCCACATTTCAATGTGGAATGAAAAACCATCTGTTACATTGTCCCTGTAATCCAGTAATTTGAGACTATTACTGGAGTGTTTGACACATTATAGGTCAATTCCTCTTCAAGAAGCAATGAATGTGCCAAGTGACTGGATGTGGATACAACAGGAACTCTTTATGCAGAAAAGAAAATTCCTATATCAAAGGTATAAATGGCAGTCCAAAATAAGAAAGGCAATCAAGACAGTAGATATATTACCTGTACAAGTTCATCAGTGTCCATAGCACAAGCAGGAAGATGATCCGCAGGAAGAATTCGTATGTTTGCCCCCGTCTCACTTCGCAATCTTTGAATAACATCTCCACGTTTGCCTAAAAGACACCCTACCATATTGTTTGGAACAAGCAGTCTAGTGGTAACATCATTGTTTTCATTATCATCATCAGGTGCCATTCCACCAAAAAGATCTTCCTCAATGATCCTGTCATGAACTTTCAAAAGAGCATCCTGGGCAGCACAGTGCGGCTCCATGGACTCTTTTTCAGTCTCAGCAGCTGAATCCTCATCACTATTTTGTTTCCTAGAATTTTTTGTAGGAGAACTATAGATAATAATTACTCTCTCATCAGAACCAGAACCAGGAACAGAATCAGCAACAGTAATCTTTGCTTTGGTCTCTTCCCTTAGGGCTTTGATTATGCTGCCACCCTTTCCAATAACACCACCAATTTTCCTAGAAGGGCAAAGTATGCGATAGACAGTGTCAGCAGGTTGAGAATTCCCCAAAGATTGTTCACGGCTAGAATTGTTCCACTTAGCTTTCTTGATACCAGCTCCTTTTCTCTTAAATTGGTTGTTTGTACGTTTCTTGAAATAATTTTTCTTGTTTACATCCATAATTCCACAAAGCCTGCAAGTACAATAAATATGTGCAATGAATGGTCTGAGAAACAATGATAAAGATCACCAGAAAACCAATGTACTCAGGTCCACGGTGTAATGAGCATTTTGTAAATTACCATAAGAACCCGTTATATGCTCACATTGTTACCCAACAATGTAGTTAGGTTAACAGTGAAACTGCTAAATTGCAGTGCATAAAAAAGTAGTAATAGGAAGGGGTAGAAAGGCTTTTTCTAGTGTTCAAGAACTGCTAAACAGATTCGTATTACTGATACAATCCAAGGGGTAGAAAGGCTTTCTCTAGTGCTCAAGAAACTTCCAAACAGAATTCGTATTACTGATACAATCACATCACTTCCAGCATCATCCACGGGTTTCTTTTTGTCCCCACTTTAATTTGTAGTAACACTGTTACTCTACTTAGCAAAACACTATTTTTTTTTTTAAGTTCTAAACACAAAATTCAATGTCTCAGTCTCTGCCCTCCCAGGAGAAGATTAGCATTTGTTCTAGAAATACACCAAAACCACAAAATTCCCCCAAATTTTTTCCTATGTTTCATGGGAAGAAATCAAACCCTACACTTGGACTGTAATAGTCAATTCAATAATATTTCCCACCAAAATAAAGTACCTAATCGATTTAAAGCAAGTTCACAGCCAGCTCCCTGGGTTCAAATATTGCTAAAATTCAGGAATTTTCTTAAAAAGATTATAACCGCGCAACTCATACTAACAGTTCTTATTTTATTCATCATTAAACGCAGAAAGAATAGTATTCGCAATCAAAACAAAGAATAAACCGAATTAAACTCCATTCCTAAAATTTCGTACTGGAAAACAAAACATTCTCAGTAAAACCATTAAATTACAGAGAAATTAGGGTTTCTAAAAGTGTTGAGAAATGCGCGTGGCATGTACCTGACACTGATACAAAGAGACTAAATAATAAGGAGTTAGACAGTTAAAAGTATAGTGATTTGGTTTAGAGGAAGGAACAAATGAAGGTAGTTAAAGACGTTATTGGCGCTTGCTGTGGCGAGTGGCGCTCTCCGTTTGTGGGGGAAGGAGAGAGAAGAAAGGTGGGAGAGGCTGGATGATTCCTATAGGGCTTTCGATTTTATTCTTTTTCTCTTTGGGTTCCGCTTACAGCATGTAATTGTTAATGGGTCGGCCCAGCGTGGCCCGGTGGCTCTTTACAAACAGATCCAATCGGTAAAAATTATTGCGAATGGGTCGGCCGGCCGTTGGCATTTACAGAAGACATAAGAATAGGCTTATACGCATGAGATACAAGTCTAGAGTTGAAAAATAACCCGCCGGCCTGACCTGACCGAACCCGTGACGGTTTATAGGAATTGGCCCAGCCTGCCAACAAGGGCAGTCGGGTTGGCCCGCCTCTTGACCAAAAGGTTGGCCCGGCCTGCCAACCCTAACCCAGCGTTTTGATGCAGGTCGGGCCGGGTTTGCCCATAATTTTTTTTTTTTTTGTTTTTAATTTTTTCTTTTGTGTAGTTTTTTTTTTCTTTAGTTACTTTTTAAATATAATAATTCAATTAAATTTTTTTTTTTTGTTACATTTCAAATATTAATTCAATTTTAATACAATGAAATTGTAATAAGAAAAATTATATTTATTCATTTATCAAAAAATAAATAGAAATTACAACAATTATTGTCTCGTTAAAACTTTACCAAGAAAAACCCAATGGACAAAAACTTGGTAAGGAAAAAATAGTGCAATAATTGACAATTGATTTACAAGTTACAATTTACAAAACAACTAATTTGGGGGTTGACTAAAGCCCCCCCTTCCGTATCATCTATATTAAAATTAAATATTCTATTAAATATCATCAACAACCTCGTATTGATCTGCTGTCGCGACCGTTCCCAATCTCAAAGCATGTGAGGACTTCAATCATTTTTTGTGATAGTTTAGTCCTCCTTTCATTTAAAATTCTTTCACTTGCACTAAATGTTGTTCAGATGAGACAGTGAGGACAAACAAAGAAAACATCCAAGGCAAGTCTTGATAATACCGGAAAAACTCATTTTCGGTTTTCCAATATTCTAAGACATCAAAGTTGCTCTTTGTTGTGGATTTGCCGGTAACACTCGAGGGTTCCCAATATTGGTAAGCTCTTACTCTGTAACACATAGAGGACGTCATTGTTGTGGTGCTTTGAAGAGGGTTGTGCTTCGGGTTCGGGTCCTCTTCGCCTATTAAATGCACTCCAAGGTCAGTCTTCATTTGTTTCTTCTGATGCACTTCCCCAGGTTTTCGCCTCTTTGCTGGTTCCCTACCTGTTTTCATATTGCAAATATACCTCTGCAAAACATCTCTTACCTCTCCTATTGATTGGCATATGCTTCGTTTTGTAAATTTCAGTTAATGTGTCTAAACCATTTTCTAAACCTGCTACTTTAATTTTAGGATCAAATATGCACCTAAACATAAAAAAAAGGATGGGTTTCCAATATTTAAATTTTAATTCCATTGCTTCTATTGGTCCCGCTAAATTTCATTGTTTCTTCTGTTTTTTCTAAATAAATCTGAAATTTTTATATTTATATTATTACCGATGGACTAGTAGATAATACACACCAGAAAGTTGTAAAATGGATGGTAAAAAATTTAAGAAAGAATGAAATTTTTGGGCTATATGCCAATCATTTTCTACCCAAATAATGAGGACCTCTATTATTTGCTAAAATAACTAATTAAATTTGCATAAGATAAACATGATCAAACATTAATAAGTACTATTCCATCTAACAGCATGTCTAATGCAAAAGTTCTAGGATACATATTTGATTTTATACAAACATCTTGAAATTCAGCATTCTTTTATTACCAAGTAATCCAAGCTAAGAGCTCTATTTCTATCAATATATTTTTCTAATTTTTTTCATACCACTTTTCACAATTAAATTAATATGACATGACATCGTTGGTGAAAAACTTCAAATTGTCATAAAAGGAAAATTAATTTTAAAAAAATTATAGTTGATAATATGCACTTGCATAATAAGTTAAACTTATCACTTTATTACAACATCATAATCTCTAAAACTTCAACATTTTTATTATAATTGTTGTGACCACTATGATCCATATCTCCATTAATCTAAATCCCAAAAGATTTATTTAATTTACATTCATTCAAAATAATGACTAGTCACACACAATATAATATTGTTTAGCTCTACCACTCACAAATATCGGCGGTTGAGCCACACTAACGACAACTATTGTATTTATTTTTTAATTCTATTCATTTTCCCAAACAATTTTATTAATCATTTCTAGTTGCAGTTTTGAATAACTTTTTAATCTTGGAAAATGAATTTTTAATAAATCTTTCAAAAATTTTATCTTCAGCCATATTAATAGGTGACCAGCTGCAATATATAAGCTATGTTCCCTATACATCAATTGTAACACCAATAGTACCCATATTAGTTATTTGAGTTTGATTGGTTCTTCTATTTCATGCTGAGTAAATGTTTATTAACTGCCTTTTAAAGTACTAGTACCATTACCTGAATCGCTTTATAAATATTTCCACAATACTTGCATCTTGCTTTCTTCACTTGAACTCCATTTTATATCTCGTAAAACTTATCGAAATGCACCCAAACGTCTGATGTTGTTTGTGTCGTCGGTTTCGACCCATTGATGAACCCATCTGCTTAGATGAGTTAGACAAGACGCGATACCTGAATCAGCTTTATAAATATTTCCACAATACTTCATCTTGCTTCTTCACTTGAACTCCATTTTCTTGTCGAAAACATTGAAATACCCTCAAACGTCTGATGTGTTCTGTCGTCGTTTCGACAGTAGTTGATGAACCCGCTTCTCTTGAGATGAAGTTACAAGGAACGATTACGAGGACGACTTCTAGAACCACCGGGAGCTTAGCACATGGGAGGAATCGAGGAATATTATGAGGTGTATCGTTTCTGAACTGAGAAAGCGGGACTATTTGATTCTACTGCATTATGTTAGTAAATTCAGGGGAACTAGATAGTTTCCTTCATCATCGAATCGATGGGATGAAATATCTATCCATTGTAGTTAAAAAAAAAAAAAATTGATTTAAAAATAAAATAAAGAAGAATTGGAATTTGGAATATGAATTGAAAATTGCAAAAACTATAAAATTAAATGAGAGCAAATTGACACAAAAGAATAATTAGTGGGATTCAATAAATTAGAGAAATGGAGAATTGGGATGTAGAAAATATGAGAGTTTAGGCCCTATTTATAGAAAAAAAAATGAGAAAAAAGAAAATAACGAAAAGACCCCTCCAGTACAAAACGATATATTTCGGGTAAGAGATATTTGCAAAAAAAAAATATTTTTTGTTTTTTTCGTCCCAACCCGGGTTGAAAACTCCAACCTACGGTTTATTTGGTGTTTTTTAAAATAAAAAAAATTAACCCACACCGGTTGACTTTAAAACCCTGCCCGCGCCGGCATGAATATGCGGTGGGGTTGGGTTGACCCCCTAACCCACCCCATTTGTTCCACCTTTAGATACAACTCTTTATTTTTTAACAAACGAACTAATATAATTTAAGAAATTAAAGTTTTGATTTAATGTTATTTAATGATGAGAAAAATGTTTTTGGATATCTTTAATCGAGTATTACAACCCTCTTATATACACACACAAAATAGAAACTACCCTAAAACTTCTAGGATTCCTAATAAGTACCCTAAACTACCTTATCCTAGCCAATATAATATTTTATAGCAAGGATCACGTTTTTTGATATAGGAAAAACCATTATTTTCCACACTCTCTCTTAAGCTGGTGAATAGATATTCTCCATTCCCGCTTGCCTACAATTGTTTGAAATGTGACATTAGTTAAACCTTTGGTCAAGACATAGCTAGTTGCCTTCCTGTAGATACACCAAGTGCAAATTAAGCCCTACCAAGCTTTTCCTTATAAAGTGTCATCCACCTCCACATATTTGGTCATGTCATGTTGCTCGTTGTGTGGAATGCTAACAGCTGATTTATGGTCACAGTAAGTCCCTCATGCATCCACTTAATTCTTAAGCCATCTAGAACAATCTTTAGCCATAGTAGCTCACATATTCCTTAAGTCATTGCACAAAATTCAACATCTTAGTTGATCTGCTACAATATTTTGTTTCTTACTCTTCTAAGCCCATAAGTTCCCACCAGAAATGTACAATATCTAGAGGTTGATCTATTTTACTATCGTCCTCTAACCTACATCATATATGCTTCTAATGTTAGCTCTACTCCTTTCTTGAACATAATTCTTTTTCCTAATAGCTTTAGGTAATGTAAATGTTTGCACAGCCTGCAAATGGACTTCTTTAGGGTTGTGTATGAATCGCCTCACAATGCTGACCGCAGAGGCTATGTCTGGCCCTGTATGCGACAGATAAATCAGTCTTCCAACCAATTTTTGATAAATACCCTTATCCACTACAACATCCTCACTAGCTTCCCCAAACTTATGTTCGAATCAATCGTGGTATCGATTGGCTTGCATGTCATCTTACTGTTTCTTGCAATATCGAGTTTATACTTTTGTTTAGAAACAAAAATCCCTTTACTAGAGCGAGCCACTTCAATCCCCCAAAATACTTTAGTTTTCCTAGCTCTTTTATGTCAAGTTCTATTTTTAGGTATTGCCTCAAGCTTTCCTTCCTCAAGGTCATTTCCAGTCACTATTTATTGTCTACATAGACTAGAAAGCATATCCCCTAAAGCTGAGTGTTTAATGAAAATGTATGATCGCCTTGGCTTTGCTTGTATCCCACGATCATCATACCGTATAGAAAATCTTCCAATCAGACTCGTGAGATTGCCTCAACCCATACAAGCTTCTTCAATTTACATACCCTTCCCTTTCAAGTTCATACCAAAACCAATTGAAGTCCATATAATTTCTTCCTTAAGCTCTCTATGTAAGAAGACATTTTCTACATCAAATTGTTGTAAATCCCAATCAAACTAACCACCA